TACCCAGCTGCAAAGGCAAAAGAGGGGGCAAAAGTCAGGCAAATTTCTTGAAATGACAATTTTAAGGAAATGACTAAGTAAGCAGTGAAGTAATGTAATGTGCATGCCTAGGTAGGTCAGGTTGATGTCTCAGGATAAACATCGATCAAGTTATGCATAGTGCCATAGTGGTGTTAACTTCAGGGATACATGAGTTCATGACAACATGCAATCAAGCGATGGTAGAGCACCTCATACATTCAAAAAAGCAACAGAGTGACTCTGTTTCCATTGGGGGAAAAGGTAGAGATAACCTTGATAATGTAAAACCTATGTATTTTGCATTTTTTACTCAAGTGATGCTAAGGAAACCAAAGGCAGTGATCCTTTTGTGTGCAATCAGTTCACTCGGATGAAACAGTACCATTAAAATGAAATTAGGTGGTCATGAAATGGAATTTTCCATATGCTAGTAAGAAAGAAAACAACTAACCTGCCTCGCGTTCAAAGGTCTCACGATCATCTGAGTAAACATCTACACCAAAACATGCACAACAATGAATAAGTCACATTGACACTGAAATGACAAATGTAAGGACAAAAAGAAATATCAAATAGTCAAATAAGAATTTCAAGAAAGAAAAGCATACTATAGTCGCCATTCTCCATTAGCTTCATGGCAGCTTCAGTCAATTCATCAAATATACGTTTAGTCCCCTCAGCCATCTTTCCATGTTTATCCGTGGATGTACCCTTCAACCTTTTCAAAGCTTGCATTATCTGGCAGTTGTTGAAGAAAATATTTAAGATTAATGATCTGAATGTTGTAAGTTTAGATATTTGGATATATGGGAATCCATTGAGTAAATTAAGCATCATTCACTAGCTAAACCCAAACACAATAATAGTAAGTCAGTAAAGTTGACATAGGAACTAAATGGTATAAATTATTGAACAGTAAAGGGCAAGCAAGGGCTGCATAAAAATATGCAAATGATGCAACAAAAACACACCGTTTCTCCTGGTTCAAGCAAGTTTGCTATCTGCCTTTTTAGCCTCCCAATGTCATCGGAAGAGAGGTCCTCAAACTCTTCAACTTTCTCTTTGCCTTTGTTCTGAACCTTTGCAGCATACGTTGGGTCAACTTCCACACTGTCCAACCAGGCATCCTACAAGGCAAACGTGTTTGCGTCACCAATGGTAACTTCTTATACTATAATGTTAACGGTGCTAAACAGAAGATCTTCATTACCTTAATTTCATTGCCTCTTGCATACTCCACAAAGTTCCCATTCTCATCGAAATACCCTTCTTCCCTTTCTCGCTCCAAGTTAAACGGCTCTATCCGGATACCATCATCAACAAAGTTAATACCATCCTGTTGAGAATCAAAATACAGCTCAAATTTTGTACCTAGCATTCATTTGCTGTCAAACATTAATAAACAGGAAGAAGGACCATCCTGTTGAGAATCAAAATACAGCTCAAATTTGTCCTAGCATTCATTTGCTGTCAACATTAATAAACAGGAAAAAAGATGCAAGCGGAGAAGCAGGGCATACGTTGTAGCGGACTTCGAAGCCCTTGACGTCAGTGGCACCTCCCTTCGCGTCGTCGCCCTCCTTGAGCTGGCCGTGGCGCTGCCGCGCCCGCCGCTCCGCCGCAAGCTCCGGATTCAGCATGCTGTCGAGGTCCACGGCGTTGCCGGAGGGGCCTCCCTCCGCACCGGCGTCGCGGTACTTGGCCTTCTTCCCCTTAGGGAACCGCGGCTTGCGCTCCCTGCGAGCGCGGCAAGCGACACAAAATCAACATGAGCCCTGCTAGGGCGTGAGACCAAAACCCTAACCAGGGAAACTCGACGAGAGGGGAAAGGAAGGGAGAGAGGTCGGGCCGTCTTACCGGCCGGCATCGTCGTCGTCGCCTGCGGTGGCGGTGAGAGGGTGCTTGGTGCCACGCGACGGTTCCGTGGGCTCCATGGGTCGGCGGCGGAGGCGGCGGCGGCGGCGACGGAGGCGAACGGCGTGGCGTCAGCGAGGAGAACCCAGCAAGGTACGGCATGTGTTTGGGGCTTTACCGCTTTGGGCTCTCAGCGGTGCAGTTCGAACTCTAAAATGGGTTGGGCTGCGTGACGGGCCTAGGTGGGCTTTTCAAGCCTGGCTGGGCGAGCAGTTTATTCTACGGAGTATATACACATACACAATTTCGACCTAGATTGCTATTAAAATAAAACTATTTCTATTTCTGTGTAGTCTAGTTTTATCAGGTTTTTTGCGTTGAAATCTATTGATCTGGATTCAAGTCTCTAACTTAGCATTAATGCTAGATTCGTGACTAATTATTTTTTGGTAATGGGCGACCTTAACTAATTGTCCGGCACATTGTCTTGAAAAAATTCATCCATGTATTAGTTTTTGGAAATGCTATGGTTAGGACGCCTGTTTCGTCCGGACGCTTTGCATTTGTGGGCCTTGATAGCCGTACGCTCGAACGGATCAATACTGCCATCCGCACAGACGCACCCATCTGCTTGAAAAAAATCTCCGTTCTCACTTTCCTCTCGAATCATCGCTGTGCCCGCATCCATTCTCGAACCCACACTTGAATCGCCGCCGCGGCGTGCTCCACAGCACTCGTGCTGCCACGGCCACAACGGGGCTGCGTGCTGCACCGCGCCTGAGCGCCGCCCGCTGCCTTCCTATCTCCCCCACCGCCACACCACTCGCCGCCGAGTTCTCAGCGCGCGATGCAGTGTGGTCCACGACCACTGCTCCCACGCTTAGCCGCCAGCCTGCCACCAGCCTCCTTCTCCACGGCATCCAAGCGTTGCTTGCTGGCTACCGCAGTTATCCAGGTATGTCGTGGCCGTCGGCAATGCCGCGTTTCAAGTGTTTCAGAAGTATGTTTTCATGTGTTATGTTGCGTATGTTGCAATAGCTATATACGTATGTTGCAAGCATATGTTTCAAGTGTTTCAGATGTATGTTTCAAGTGTTTCATCTGGATGTTGCAGAAGTATATCTGGATGTTGCATAGCATGCATATTGAAAAGCGTATGTTTCGAGTGTTTCATGTGTTTTATACATATGTTGCAAGTATTTTATCTAGATGTTATAAAAGTAGATCTGGATGTTGCATGCGTTTGCAATAACTTTCAAGTGTATTTAGGTGTTTTTGCAAGTGTTTCAGACGTATGTTGCAAGTGTTTCAACTGTTTCGGATGTATGTTACAAGTGTTTCATCTGGATGTTGCAAAAGTATTGGTGTTCAACATGCTGCAATGGTACCGCCTGCCGCAGCCGCCACCATTGAGCGGGCGCAGACGTTCCCGTCTGCATGCGTGTGGGAAGCGGAGGAGGCGCAAGGGGTCACCGCGTGCTGTCGGTCAGTCGGGCGACACGGGTGGTCCCAGTGGCGTGGGCCCCGTGTGAAAATGGGTGCAGACACGGGAAATGGAGTGCTGGCACAGGCGTTCGGACGCGGGCTAGCGTCTGGACGTCTGGGCACTAGCAATCCCCATTAATTTTATCAGTTTTTTTTAGTGGAATCTACTGTATTCACTAGATCATCCATGTATTAGTTTTATCAGTTTTTTTTCTGTGGAATCTACTGTATTCACCTAGATTCTAGTCTCTAACTTAGCATTAATGCTTACATTTGCGATTATTCTTTCAGTAATTAGCCTACCTGACTGCTAATAATTAATTGTCAGCTACAGTCTCTTAAAATGTTCATCTGGAACGATATATGTACATGCATTTACAAAATTAAGTGTATCTACATATATGTGAGTGTGAGCGCTTGGGTCTATAGCGTGCTTAGCGGAAACAAACTATTTCTAGTTTTTTTTAAAAGGAAGGATACAAAATGAACGGGCAGAAAGGTGAACAACTTCACGCCACTACCGGCACTACGCCAGTGTCATTGGTGCTCAAGTTTGTGCCATGTCAGGAAAGAATCAGGACAAAATGGGATTCGATCATTCGATGTGGCCATAGCCCATAGGGCGAGCAGGCATCAATGAGCATCGGCGCAAGCAAAAGTTGGGAAGTCTCATCCGTGCCAGGTTCTCCTAGCACCTTGTTACAGAAGGTGTTGCATTTCAATCACAATCTCAAATAGATGCTATAAAACCATGACTAAGGGTAGAAGCTGCACTCAGATCTTGGTAAAATTTTTGGTAGGTAGCAAGCATCGTTATATAATAATAACATCAACGTAAACAACAACAAATCAATATTGGTTTGGCCTTTGCAGTAGATTATTGTTGAACCTTTCCTTTTGCTATTTGCAGTAATCTTAGCTCTGATCTGAATGGCATTAGTGCTAGAGTAAATTAACCAATTAATTACAGAATTCAGTAAATTCTAGTTTGCAATTTGCATGCAAATAGATTAATTTATTTCATTATAGCTTATTTAAAAAGGCTAAATTAGGATGATCATCCATGGTTCCATTTCAGCAGAGATTGAAACTATATTCAGCAGTAAAAAAATTAAAATAATAAAATATTCTTGATTACATCAGGGGACGAAAAATAAAGGCAGAAATTTCTATCAAGAAGATCTCGCGACATCAATCTCTTCAAAAGAAAGCATTAAGATAATCACAACTAGCAACGTAACTGAACAATCACTTACATATACAACACTTTAACATGTAGCTAACTGCAAAGGTAACACAATGCCTGAAGATATGTAATACTGGAACGAAAGACAACACAAGTCAACCTTAAAGTCTCCAACATGCCACAATCCACATAATACACAAATCCACACAAGCACAAAATGGTTCTAACATCAGGTACCTACTTCACAACATCTCCAGACACCCAAAAGGATCGCCAAGACTCCACAAATTGGGACACACCAACCAGAACAAAAGCCCAGAGTAGCAGAAAACCATCTGCTCAATTGCAATGTGCTACTTCAAAATTCCCTGCCCAGATGTCTAAATATCAATATGATATCAATCAAAATGATGCCAATATATTTTCAAAGTATTGTTTACCTCAAAAGATTCTGTTACATAAACCCATATTTGGCTAATGTGCTAAAGATCTTCGTACAGTGTTGATTCCGTACGATGATATTTTGGGAAAGGATGGCATTCGCCAAAATGTTTCGAAGAGGAACCTGGAGAAGACAGAAATTTCATCAAGCTCGTGTTATACAACTAAAACATGAAACATGGTGAAGAGCTAAGATACAAATGAGTGACCACATGACATGTTATAATAGCAGTAGCAGGAGTAAAATTTGCAAACTTACCTCACATGTTTCAAGAGCAGTAGAGAGAGCAAAATTAGCAAACTCATCTGTCACCAGATCTCTAAAGTGTGGATAGCTAATGAATTCATATACAATGACCGATCTCTCTCCTTCGTGGAATACCCTTAAACACCATTCAACAACATTGCTGCTGTACTTATTTTTCGCGAGTGTCACATAATGATTTCTAAGGCAGGAAGCAATGATTTCAATGTGAGAGGGATCTCCCTTCCGCAGAACATCCTGAACAATCCAGTTTCTGCGGGAGAACATAAAAGATATCAGAAACAACAATGCAACCATGAAGCAACGCAAAAGAACTTTATGCAGATAAAAGGTTTCGGATGTTTGTGTACAATGGAACAGTATTATCACATTCATACCCACTGGAATTTTGAGCAAGGAAAAGGCTCTGATAAGAGAGTTGGGTAAAAATATCATCCTTTTGCTTCTGGCTGACATGCTCTAGGCAATTTTGTAGTAGGCCCAGTCCATTTGGTTGATATGCAAGTCTTGTACAATTTTGAGCAACAGCTTCGAAAATGAACTGCTAACACAAAAACGTCAAATAATGAAAATCAGAGTGCATGTGAACACACACTGAAGCAAATTGTTGAAATGCATTACAAAAATGCAATAAGGTTCATAAATATGATCAGTCTTGCTTGTTTCAAAAGGGAGGGGAATATATAAGCTAGTTTGCCATGCAGGTTGGACGTTGAAGTAGGAACTACAAAATTTTAAATTATCAAATGCACTTAATAAATGTTTTATATATAAACAATCTTGATGAACTAGATTTAAAGAGCACAAGAATAAAATTTGAATTATAAAATCAGAAGAGTGAAAAGCCAGTACCAGATATCATTGTTGCTAGACTTTAGGCCATAACTTGCATAAATCAGAAAACTACCATTGTTCCACTGTGGACAAATTTATCATACAGGAAAGTAGTAAAACATTGAGGCTGAGAGGGAACTATAAGGTAGCCATTGATTAATTTTTGAAACAAAATTATAAAAAGGGAATCAATGACAAATTGAATGGAATTACAAAATGAGACTATTGACTAACAGTGCTACTGATTTCAGTAATGTACTTCCGTCAGCAATGATAAAGATGCTAATGATACTAGTGAAAACATCATAATGGCATTGATTTCTGCAGCACCAGGTAGAACTTGAATTGAAAAAAGAAACAAGTACCTGAGCAATATCTGGAGGAGAGCTCACTATGAAAGCATGCAGCACTCTTAATCTTTTCGAATCCGACAGGAGGTACCTCATCTGATTATGTGTCATCCATTGCAGCATGGCATCTCCAAGAAGCTGCATTGATCTCCGAGTTTCACTGGAACTGATTATATGAACTACTTCATCTGGCCTGAAAAGACAGAAGCTATCATTTATATGCTGAATGAAGAACAGATAAAGAAAAAGCTAGAAGAAGAACAGATAAAAAACAAGTACGGTATTTGATCAATCACCTCCGAGTGCAAAGGCTACCAAAACTCTTCCTGTCCCGGGTGATCGTAGCAACGATCCGATCCCGCAGCTGCTGGCTGCAGTGATTGAGGACCAGACGGAATAGCCGCTGCCCATGTCTGCTCTCTAATAGGTCGCAGGCGTACGACACGATGCTCTCGGGGGTTTCCTCGGACAGCGCGAGGAGCAAGGCTTCCTCGTTCCCAGGAAACAAGTTGGGGCGGTTGACAGCCGCGGTGCCACCGTGTAGGTAAGGCGGCGGCGCCATGGCCATATACGCGTGGCCGCCAGGGTGGGCGCCGCGAGCTGCGGCGATTGCGCCAGGCGGGAGCATGCCCACGGCCGGCTCGTTCCGGGGCCCACGAGCGATGCTGCGCCGAAATCGACCTTCCGCGAAGGGCCGCGCCCGCGCGTCGGGCACGCTACGGTCGCAGGGCGGCAGCAGCAGCGGCAGCGGCATCCGCACCGATTCAGGATGCATCTGCGACGGCGCTGACGGACCGGCTTCCTGCCCTATCGGAGGCGCCGGCGCGTACGCGCGCGGATCGATGATGCCGCGATGAGGCCCAAGAAAAGCAGGTGAGAAGCGATCCGCCGCCGCCGCGTCGTCCTCCTCCCACAGCCGCGGCAGCGCCACGGCGGACTGCTGGTTGTAGATGGAAAGACCCGCCATCATCTCTAGCAGCTTGTCGTTCGGCGCGTCGTACCCCACCTTGATGCCGGCTTGCTTCTCCTGCTCATGATGCTCCTCCTGCGGCGGCGACATGAATCCCACTCACGAGAAAACCCCCGTGCGCTTACAGGAGACTAAAAAGAGTCGACGAGTAGGGACTAGGGAGTCCTATCCTCGTCTGATAGATTAGGAGATGTAGCCTGCCTTTTTAAACTATTTCCCTTCCCATCTTCCTTAGAGCCCAAGGGAAGGAAGCGAGAGGAGAGAGGGAGCAAAGTGGGGATGTGTTTGGGATTAACAGAAGGGGGGTTGGTTAGTTGTTTGTTTTCATTGTTATAGCTAGAGATTTGCTGTGGACCAGACAGGCGCAAAATGCTTCAGTTTTAGATGGTCTATTTACTGTTTTTTTATTTATTTTTATTATTATAGTTATTATTATGTCCATTTATTAAGGAGTTTGGCACTCAAAATATTCCATTTATTATTTCAGGCAACACTATTGTACAACTAACCACAGTACAATTAAACTGTTACTTTTATAATTTGTCTTTGTGTTATAACATATTAAATTTTTGTTATTGTCTAACTATAGAAACAATTGTGAATTGTTAATTGTCTTTGTGCCAACACAAATCAATTTTGTCGGGTTGGTAGTTTTGTCCAACATTTTTTTTCAGAACCGAAAATTATAAATTGTGTGTACAGAAAATGCAACGAACTAAACCACTAGATGCTATCTCTCTCAAGCAAATGCACTAGACCACTCCAACTCACTGCAAATCACAATCTCAACTATGCATATGTGAGTGGAGGGCTAACTTTGGCTCCTCTAAATATGGGTGTGCCCCCTTGGCTCTAGCAGTCCTCAAATGGTCGGCCACACCCCTATATAACCCCCACAAGCCAAACTAGCCGTTAAAAGCTTGCTGCATAGTTTTCGCCACCAGCGTAATTTCCGGTGGACCACCGGAGGAAGTCATTGAATCACACTTTTCAGCACCACTAGAAATTCCAGTGGACCACCGGAGAAGGTAATCGAATAAACAGGTCTGACACCCATCTGACATACAACGGTCAGATTTATAGCCGTTGGGGTCACTGTTTCTCTAATGCACCTTCTCTGGTGCACACCAGATAATTCCGGTGCAGCCAACTCTCTCTGGTAAGCGGCCCCCTAGGCCACTTCTTCTGGTGACACGCCTTGGGCCATCACCTGAAACTTCCGTGGCCCCAAAACCTTTCTGTTAGGCCAACCCAAGAGTTTAGCCTAGGCACCAAAAATCTCTGGTGTCCAGCACCTTCTTTTTTGGTGCGCCTCCAGAACATGCCGCCAAGACTTCACCAAATCGCTTGGTCCGATGCACCCTCCCTCCGTAGCAAACCCTAAGGCACAGTGCAACGACTGCATTCTCCGATGGTCTCTTAGGACCTCCACCGGGCAATTCTGGTGGATGCTAAAAATAGCATGCCGAGCTCTTCTCTCAAACATTTTTCCAAATGCGCTAACTCCAAACAACGTCCCACATGGCAACAACTCCTTTAGCACTGAGTTAGCATTTTCAAATTCAATTTTAAAGGATTTTCATTTGCACCTTTCTATGCCACTCGATCTAAATGCAATGCAAGTTAGACCTCACCTAGTGAAACTAGACAACGAACAAGAAGGAAACAGAGGTAGATAGTGTGCATAGTAGGACATAGTTCTTGGGCAGTGGAGAAAGACGACTCATCATTTCTAATAGATGTTGTCACTCTTGACATTTAGAGCAAGTCTAATAATTTTGCCAGCTGCCAGCTGAATGATCATGCCATATCACTTATAGCCAACATTAGCAAACAAACGTATAATAAGCTGGCTGTTTGGTTAGCTGCTTCCTTGGCTATACGAGTATTTAATAAGCTCTGTCAGCTAGATGGAGGAGCCAAACAGCCTGTTCGCTTGTTGATTTCAGCTAGGACTTATCAGCCATGATAAAGTGTTTTTCTCTCACAACAAACCAGGACCAGCCGGGCTTATCAGCCCAGAAACTAACCAGCGAACAGGCCGAAAAGCTGATTCCACCGGCTGCTTTGGCTGGATGCGGGCTCTTTTTTCTCGTGCATCATGTTTTCGCCCGATGAAGAATGAAGCGCCCGCCTAGCGCGCTCTCTCTCTCTCTCTCTCCTATACTGTATTCGCCAGGTCAGCACCCTGTTCGCTTGATCGTTTCTATGGCTTATAAGCCGGCTGATACTGTTTTGTTGTGAGAGAAAAACACTGTATCATGGCTGATAAGCATGGCTGATACGATCAAGCGAACATGGTGCAGATTTTGTGAGTGGACACACATTCAGCTGGCTGACTAGGCATTAGACCAAGGCTAATAATACAGCTGGCGACGGGCTGTAAGTTTTTTTTTATCTTTCTCTTATCCCACTCATATAATAGTTAGCTCTTCACGGTTAATATATGACTCACTTGTCTCTCTTACAGAGTTTTTTTTGGTTCTTGTGCTTAAGCCGGCTGTAAACTTACAGCCCGCTTCTCCTCTCTCTCTCCTCTTTTTTTTTCTCCACCTCAGCATTTAGCTAGCTTAAGTCAGGTTGGTTGACCTAGGTCAGGAGCCTCTTTGCAAGCCCACCACTCTTGACATTTAAGTCTGGTTGATTGATCTAGGCCGCGAGCCTCTTTGCAAGCCCATGCATTCGGTCTAGTGTTGTAGCCCAACTAAGCCCAGTAGTTGACACGAACCCTCACAAAATGTGTTCGATGTCGCACAATGTGCAATGCCTCGACGCAAGGATGCAAGGCTCTGTTCATGTTGGAAATGGATGCGCTGCTACTGCGCGCCAAGAAAAATTACTCACCAAGGTTACAAGAATGGATAAGTGGAATTTCCTAAGTATCAAACCTGTGGTGGTGCGCCTGTTGGCTTTCTTTATCTCATTCCTGGTTCCCTAAGTCTCCTAATGTCTTCTGAGAAACCTTGTAATCTGTTCTTTTTTTGCCTTTTCTTTGGTTACCCCCTGTAATGTTACTCTTTTATCTTTAATCTATCTTCACTAGGGGCTTCAAACCCCTCCTGTTCTTTCAAAAAAAAAAAAACAATGTGCCTGCATCACAAACAAGTCCTCCAAAGTATAAAATTCCGCAAACAAGAACTGCCTAAATTTCTTCCGGTAAACAAACTGGCCCGTGCCTGTCTACTTTCCAGAAACTTTCGCAATACCAGATAATCAAGTTCAAGCAAGGGAAAAAAAGAGAGGAAATAAAGATTAAGTCCAGACTAAGCATCATTTCCTGTCTCCAAAAAGGTCTGGATCATACGCATATAATACCCAAGATTAGTCGCAATTCAGCTCAGCAAGCATCCATGGATGCTATAGCAAAGTATAACCGCTCAGGTGATACCTATAAGGCTATAACCCTTTCCTCACAGTAACGGAGGTAAAAGAAAAAAGAGAACTCAACCACAAGTTCCACTTCACCCCAACCTGGTGCCTCAGTTGGAGCTCGCACCGAAAACCCTGATTCTCTCTTCCACTTTGGCGCTGCAGCAGGGGCAGCGAGAGACGCCTTTATCCTCATGCAGCTTATTGCAGCCAACACAGAGGACCTGGTGGGCACACTGCAGTAGGATCACACAAGCCTCCTCCTTGCAGACAACACAATCCCGCCGGCGGCTTGGCTTCTGGGCTGGTAGCGGCCGGTTGGATGCAGGTTGTGGCCTCTGGATGGGCTGCTGCTTGGGTGCCCGCACTGCGCTTCGGTTAGCTGTGCCCGGAAAGTTGGTTGATGGGACGGTTGGTTGAGTTGCACCTGCTGACTTCTGCAGGCGGTTGAGTTCATCCTGGAGCCTGTGTAGGTCATCCTTGTAGCACTGAGATTCGACTTCTTTCTTACGACGAAGCTCTTCAAGTCGGCGGTCAGAGTCTGCTTTTGCAGCTTCCTTCTTCCTGCGCTCCTCTTCCAAAAGCACCATGTTTTCTTCTTTGGCCCTTGTGTCTTCTCTTATCTTTTTCTGCAAACCAAACATATATACAGTCAAGCTGTGTTGTTACAGTTATTAGCTCATTGGGATTTAGGCAAAGTCACGGTGCAAAACACTAGGTAGAAATACTTAAAATCCACATCATAACAATGCATAACACAGAGAGAAAAGTAAAACCACCAACACAAGGCATGAAATCAAGTGCTCCTAGTGCCCGAGAAAAGACAGTTGCTAGAAAAGAAAAGGATGATAAGGTCATAGAAAGATGTGATAGGAGTTTTGTTTTTTGTTCTTTTTAAAGGCCAGATTTTCAGTGACCTGAATATAAATGACGAACACACAACAATTTGTGTCAACCATAAATGAATCGCCCAGTTAAGGTACATATCCAGAAAACTAAAGAACCTGATTGTAATTGCCAATGGGGCAATGGGCATTACTCACATAAGTCATAACTCAATTAATGGTACAATAACAAATAAGACGTGATGACCAGAGTACAGGTCGAAGCTTACAGTGATTATCAGGTACTATTAGCAAAAAGTAAAAAATGGAAGAGATCCAAATGAAAGCAGGGCAACCTCTGCATACTGGACAGCAGTGGTAGGTTAAGTAATGCCATCATTGCCTTGTTTTTAAATGTCAATGGTTTCTCTAAGAGAATGTGGAGGATATCATTTCAAAATAAATTTTGATTGTAAGAATGCTGTACCTGTACCTAGACACATTGACCAGTTTATAGAAAAAAATCTTTTGACATCTAAAGGACCAAAAAGTCATGACATATTTCGTGGTGGATTTAATGAAACTAACTGATGTTCTAGATGTAGGTGCTTTTCTTATAAAAATTAGTCAGAGTTAGAGAAGTTTGGCTTATAACAAAACTAAAACTACCTTTAATTTGGAACAGAGGGAACAAAATATAATTCAATAATTCCTGTCTTCACAACAGACAGTGCAATCGCTTCAGTTAAGAGCTCAATCAGTTCAAATTACAAGGCAACCTTTGCTATGCAGGAAGAAGTAATAATAAGTTCAAATCAAAGGTTAAGACTGATCAAAGAGATTTTTGTTTTCAGGTAACACTGATTGAGGCAATTTTCTATTTTAATCACCTCAATG